CTTTAATGCTAATTTAACATTCATCAGTCTCTTAATGGGTTTCTTTTTCCAAGGGTCATTAGTACAGAATATTATTTATTTCACCATTTAATTGGAGAGGAGGGGAAAAAAGCTAACTTTATCTCATCTTTGACAAATTTGCAGACAGAAACAACAGGAAACAAACCACTTCATGCTCCAGATCATCATATAAATCTGGTAGCGACCAAAGTAATTAATCTGCTTCTATGAATGATGAGTTGATACCATAGATGGCACGTCCAGCTAGACAGCTATCTATATTCCCCACCTCATGTTCCTTTTCAGTAGGAAAAACTGGTAGAAGTACGATACCTTCCCATTATCCTTTGTGATGGATTCTCTAAACAAAATACGTTAGAACAAGAAGGAATGAAACTTAGTACTTCTGCTACCTATTCTTACGCTGTTAGGAGGATAAACATCTATTTCTAGCCCCGAATTGTTAAATCTGGCCCCTTTCCCCAAAGGTAAGTGCATGATTATGTCTAGTTCTTTGAGTTGCAGTAACATTGAATCACAGAAATTCATCCAGGAAAGACTGGAAAGTTTTGGGGGTTTTCGTTTGTTTTTCCTTTTTTTGCTTCTTCCCTCTCACCCCCCTCCAATAACAGTATAATGAACCTTGAAAAGAGAAAACCTAAGAACAAGTGACCAAAAGTCTATTTATTTCCATGTCTTGTCTTTGTTTGTGGAGAAAGTTGTCAATAGATTTAAAAAGGAGAAAAAGCACAGTTAACTATGTCTTTACAAAGTCTTTTGTTTGCCCATATTTTGTTATGCGAATATAGTACCTTTAGTTTATAGCAGTGTAAAATATACTAAGAGGAGACAAGTAACCCCATCCCTAAAATCAGAAAAGTAAAAACATCATGCAGATGGAGTAAATTACCTAAGGTAGATGTTCTACTTGGATACAACTCCAAGTTTGACCCTGTTTCCAAATAGAAATGAAAGAACAGCAGAATAGGAATGTATCATTAATGCCAGAGATATTCTGTTATTAGGTATTCAGAACACTGTCATATTTATAATGATTAAATATAGTACTTCCCCCACTTACACATCCCAACTTTTTCTAACAATAAAATGAGAATTGTTGTCCTTCTCATGAAACCTTTGGCTATATGATAAACTCTTTTCTTGAGCACATTATTTTAAGAACAGCTTCAATATGATTTCTTATGAACAAACTACTATCACTCAGGTTTTCCCATTACAGATAGACTATCGCAGAAAACCCTGATAGAATTTTAGCTTATTCTATGAGAATCATAGTGTACTATTCCCAGGGGCCTAATTTTTCCTTAGGACTTTTTTTTCCAAAGATATAACAAAATTTCTTAAAATATTCAATTTGATGGCAATCGAGATGAGAAACCCCCTGAACACAGTGCTACAGGTTCTTTGGAATAAATATGTAATATGCAAAAAATAACAATCTGGTTTTGTTACATTTGACAGCAGATGACTTGAATGGGAATTAGAATTACAGAATAGAATAAAAGACACTATTTTGGAGCAGGCTATAATTAGTCTAATAGAATTCTCTTTCTGTTTATTTTTCACTCTACATCCACAGTCACCTTATCTTTTCTTTTGTCTTTAGCACAACCAGTTAATTGTCATAAGTTGCATCTGCTATTATACACATAGGGACAGAAGTGTAGTTATCTGAGGAAGCAAATTGTTCTTCACACAGATATTCATCCTTCCTTCTACTGCTGCTGTTGTCAAAGTAGTAAACATTTAAATAATGCAGTTATAAAAGTAGATAGCTAGCATATTGGCAACAATTATAAGGGTAGTACAAGAACACCTGGGAAAGAGCTAGGAGATGTAGGTCTGTAAAGCTAAGATACAAAATCAAAATCTTTCATGTTTTGCACTTGGAAAGTAAGATTAACTTGAAACTAACATTAGAAAAGCACAGAGCACTCAGAGCAGCACCCCTATGTGTCCAATCAAGGCCTTTACTATGGTTTTATGGGGTAAATGAAAACTATTGTTGTTTCTGAAATGTAAGTAGTGTTGTCTGACAAACAAATAGCTCATATTGCAAAGACAAAAACTTTTAAAAATGAGATACTGAAATCACATGTATGTTTGTATACATTCTACTGAAATACAAGCAGATGTTTAAGTCAGAGTTGTAGAAAATATATTTAAAAATAAACTAAGTAGTGTTCAGCCGGGAATAAATGTAAATGTTGTTTTTGTAATCTGCCCACACCCATGCAGTTTTCTAAATCATGTTTAAGACCTATAGATTGTGAGGTTTAAAACATTGGTATGTGTCGTGGTTTAACCCCAGCCAGCAACTAAGCACCAAGCAGCCGCTCACTCACTTCCCCCCATCCAGTGGGAGGGGGGAGAAAATCAGGAAAAGAAGTAAAACTCCTGGGTTGAGATAAGAACGATTTAATAGAACAGAAAAGAAGAAACTAATAATGATAATGATAACACTAATAAAATGACAACAGTAGTAATAAAGGATTGAAATGTACAAATGATGCGCAGGGCAATTGCTCACCACCCGCCGACCGACACCCAGCCAGTCCCCCAGCAGCGATTCCCCGCCCCCACTTCCCAGTTCCTAAACTAGATGTGACGTCCCATGGTATGGAATACCCTGTTGGCCAGTTTGGGTCAGGTGCCCTGGCTGGGCATGAGAAGCTGAAAAATCCTTGACTCTAGTCTAAACACTACTGAGCAACTACTGAAAACATCAGTGTTATCAACATTCTTCACATACTGAACTCAAAACATAGCACTGTACCAGCTACTAGGAAGACAATTAACTACATCCCAGCTGAAACCAGGACAGTATGTTTTATTAGAAATCCAAGTTTCATGCCTTCTGTTTTGCTAGAATATTTTTTAGGTCCTAGAGAAGTGGCATTGCTCAAACACTGTAGAAGTTAAACCTGAAACTGAAAAGAGTAACAACTTTCTTCCAACCTGTGCTATTTTCCAGATACTAATTCCAATTTAATTCAGAAGCTGAAACATGAAAATAATACTTGTAATCAAAAATTTGGATTCCTCCTCCACTTCAGTTAAGGGCTGAAAATACTCAAATTGAAATTAAGAATTCTCCTTCTACTCTGGAAACACCAGGGAAAAAATAAGATTCCTGAATCAGAAAGATAAATGACAGCATTCAGTCAAGAAAAGGGTACATATTTAGCTTGGAACTGTGCTTTAGATATCTACTCACTCTTTTTATTCTAATGAATCACAGAGTTGTAGTTTCTATCAGAGTTACATGTGTTTCCCTTCTCTTACGCCACAATACTGCTTTTGCTCCCTGGGGAGTGGGGGTGGGGAAAAGAGTTTGTAGGAAAAGAAATATGAAATGAACATAGGAAAAATGTAAAACAATTCCTTCAGAAAAGATAAAAGGACAGGAGAATAAGGAAGGATGACTCTTATTATTTAGGCACTACATTGAGACTTAAAAGTTCTTGCCTTTGACATACACTTCTTGTAGTTTTGGACAGGTTGCGTAGGATACAAAAGTTGAGTGACTAATGGTAGAGTAACCAGGTTCCAAACACTGGTGGTTCTTGATGTGGCCTGATAACATCTTCTCAAGGTAGGACCTCCCTTTCTTTTAATGCCTTCTCTGAAAAATTGGAATAATATATAGCTGCTTCATGGGGGTGTTGTCTCTCCTCATAAATGTCTGTATCTCATTGCAAAAAAGTGCCTCTCAACATGAAAAGTAGTATTGCAGTGATGGAGAACCCTCAAACACCTTTGGGAGAATTCAAGTAGGAGAAAAGAAAAGAATGGAAATTGGATGTTAATTTAAAAGGAAGGCCAGTGGAAGTACCATGTGCAAAAAGCAGTTCCCAGTCTGTCAGAAAGTTACAGCTTATTTGCTCTGTTTTGTTCCTTTTAAAAAAGTTCTTATCAGGAAGGAAACCTGCATCGTAGAAGGCCATGTGATTTGTGATTTTTTACTACCAAGAATTATATTCTCTTGTTTCATCATCATCAGAAGAACAGCTGTGGCTTGTAATAAAACAAAACTAAAAGAACTTTTGCAACACCAGCATAATTAGGTGAGCCGGAGCCGGTCAGCCAAGGAACAAAGCTCTGTCTTCTCAGCAGGAGCAAATGCGTTGCCCTCCGCCGGCAACATGGGAATGTTTATTCCTGCACTTAATTGAAGAGTTAATTAAATGACAAAATACATTCAGTGCAGGGAGATTCCTTCCTGTGTTTCTCATAGCACTCCAAGGAGAGGCAAGTTCGGCGCAAAAGGAGGCTGCGTTCAATTAAGTTGACCCACCTTTTACCAAGTGATTCTTCAGGAGCTGTTCAGGATTTTCTCTGCAGTAGTTCTGGGGGGTTCACCGGTTCCCAGCTACTGCTCATCCTTTGCCACTACATCCTCTGCTTTCTCAGGAAGGAGAGCAAGGATATGAGTACAAGTGGTTTTAATAGGAGATGCAAGAAAACACATAACCAACCAACCCTTGAAATTTGTTGCAGGGATTGTTAAAACCTGATGGTCTTAGCTATTATACAGAGACATTTCCAGTGAAGTAAGTTGTTTTGACTGAATTCATTTTCAGAACTACATTCGTGAACTCTAGAATTTAGCCAAAAATTTACTGCAGATAGCAAGTGAAAGACAATTACAAAAATAATTTCAAAGCTATTCACTAAAATGACTTTTTTCTTTGGCAATGCCTGATTCTTACTGCATCTTACAGGCAAACCAATAGCCCAGCCTTTGGCTGAATTCCTATGAAACAGTAGGTCTGCTAATAGTTTATTGATGTTGCTTTCTTATTATTTAGCGTCTGGTTCTGATATTAATTATTTAGCTTGTTTAATAATGGCTGTCACAGAGTAAACAACAAAATAGCAGCTTCAATTACAGAAAGCAAAAATCAACCAACCACAAAGAATACAGTAAAACTGTTAGACAACACAAACTATAAAATTATTTTCTTTCAGTTACAGAAATGGACTGCCATTTTTCTGTCTGGGGAGTTTTGGCCTTTCTGAGTTTGGCTCTGGTTGTTTCGTTGATACTGAACATTTCACACTATATGAAAAAGAAGCAAGGTACGTAATGTCGTCTCTCTGTAAGGAATGGAGCTTGAGTGTTTAAAGCGTCTGTAGAGAAAGCCATCACTGCTGGGAGATTTCAAGCCACCAAACTGATTCTTTTGAATCTAAAAGTTATCTTTTGGCAAGAATGATTCTAGCAAAGAGGGTGTAACTTTTAAAAATTTTTTAGGAGAGTCATGTATGATTATAGAATGATTGCTAGCTGCCCAATCCACTGCTAAAAACAGTTCCCCAAATCCATTCTCTGAAGACAAACCAACAGAACAAGTACAAGGTGAAGAACTTAGTTCTAGCTAATTTTTTAAAATATATTTTTAACATCTGTAATTTCCTTTTAAGTGTACTTTTCATGAAACTGGTTGTTATTTGTACTTGAATTTAAAAATATTTTAAGTAGCTGCACTGATACAAAATGCATTTGAGAAAAATTTTCTCCTCCCCAAATTCCTGAATGCTTATTTGAATTTCAGATTTCATACACATTTTATGCTTAACCAGTTTATTTTGGAAAAAAGTTCCAATAGCTTTTCATCATGGGATCCTAATGTAGCTCTTAAACCAATGTGCCACTCACAATAAGGAACTGATTTAATTTATGTTAGAGGCCGACTATGGTCATACCCTGGTTTTGGTTAAAATTAACTATGACTTTTTTTAACAGAATTGCTTATGCCAGTGCAACCTCTCTTATGCATACAATTCTATAGCTATTAAGTTGTACAATCCTTACCACTCCCATTCAGGGAAAAAACTGCCTTTACACAGGGAAAACCGCGCCTGTGCTCTACACATAGGGCTGGGCAGGTAAACACTGGTGGATTCAACCACGTTAAACACACGTACGTACCTAATCTACATAAACAGAAGGCCTATGCTTATAAACTGAACTCACCAAGTATAAAAGAATTAGATTATTACAGCATATTAAAGAGCTGCTAGAGTGTTACAGGATGGAGGGGAACCTTTTTGGTTTATTTTGTCTTCTAGTGCTACTAGGCAGGTATTTCTATGATGAAAAAATCAGTCATTTACAAAACTAACCTTGAGCAAGGTTTCAGTCAGATTGGCTGATGCTGCATTCCTCATGGAATTGGAGCTTACTGTAGTAAATTCTGAAGTCCTGGAGCATAGGATAGAAAGTCAGGCATTCCAGAGTTATTAATCAAGCTCTAGCAGTAAATCTCTTTGTAGCCATTGCCTCTTTGCTTCAGTTTCTTCATCGGTGTGGATGACAGGATATCTCTCTTTCAGAGATACAAACAATAGAACTAGTAAAATAAATATACCCTTCACCTTGTAATATAAACACATGATGCACTTCCCTAGGCAGAGAAAAAGATGCAGTAGAAGCAAGAGGAGGAGGAAACAAGGAATTAATAGCATGTGTTACAATACATTTTTGGGGCACTTGTAAACTAATGTAGACTTTGCAGCCACAGCACAGGGTCATAACACAAATATTTCTTGTATTAGTCAAAAGTATTTGAGAAAAGCAGGGAGACAACTGAAGGTCCTCAGAGCCAAAAGCTTTCAATTTTACTCTCTACAGTGAAATCAAAAGCATGTCAGTGGAGATAACTATCTGAAGTGTTCTAAAACAGCACATTTCATTTTCTCTTAACTTTATTTTTTTAACAAATTTTCCAGCTAAAATGTATAAAGACTATGAAGACAACAATCCAAGGTAAGTTGAATAAAAAGTCTCTTTCTGGCAAGGGTGGAATAAGCAATAAATAATGACAGAAGGATTTGGATGGATGGCATAGAGGAAAATCCAGTATCTCATGCAGCCTGCCTGGAAATGTCAGAGAGCATGATGGTTGTGGAGAAGTTTTCCAAAGAAAACAGGAGAAAAAAAGTCATGTGGGGAAGATGTACTCCAGTCATTTTATCTACAATGAAATAATTGCATGCTAATATGATAATTTTATGTACTGAAGGAAGTGCAAGTTATTGAGCTACAACACTATTCACTATCACTCAAACTCAATAAATCTATAATAATTTAAAAGAACTCTCAGAAAACAGTGATAAATTATAGTCTGATATTTAACACTGTGGAGCAATAATTTACATGTATTTATGTTTCATACCCTTCTTTTACACATGATGTTCAAAAGCAATAAACCAGAGTGTTTACAGCTGCTGGATAGATACCTCAAGATCTGTTACAAGCCTGTTTCTCTTATTCCATATAAAAAACCCCACCCAAACTTTAGAAAACAGAGATGGAAGGAGTCTCATCTCAACCCAATTATAAAAGGCCCTTGAAACAAAAATACAAAAGCCTTCACCTGTTTCCCCAAACCAATCCTCAATTACAAATTTACTTGAAGTTGGGAAGTCTGTTTGTTTATTACTGCCTGTTCAGTTGAAAAATACCACTGAAAAAGTAGTGTTAGAGGCACAGCATAGGGGTGCAATAGGAACAAGGTTATGCAGTGCTTCCCACTAATTCCCATTTTACAAACACGCTTAAAAACATTTTCAAGCAACACCAGGTAATGAAACACAGAATACCATTAAAAATCCAAAGCTGAACTTTGCTTTGGTCTTCTCTAGTTGTGTCAACATAAACATTTTAGTTTAATCAAGAGTGGACTTTTTAACAATGTCGCCCCAAAGACCCATTTAGTGCTTTAGTTTGTATCACAAAGTGGTCTTGGAGAACATAAACTGCGTTCCTTTCCGTGATCATTAATATTTCTATAACTACATCAAACAGTAGCTTAGTAGTCTTGAGATTATCTTTATACTTACTAAGTTACAGGAAAGAAGAGTTCAGTTCTTGGCTAGATAACAAATCTTTCTTCAAAACACAGACAGTGCCATTTCTGCCCCTCCTGATATTTTTGGTCTTGTTTTTTAGTTCACATACAATCTGCTATTGCTACATGTGTGTAAAATGCTTGGAGTAGCTTAGTGGAGTCCTAAATAAAGCATATTCTGTGAATTAAATGTATTTTTCCATTCCCCTTCTAGCTATGATGACTATTACACAGAAGATGACCCAGTTTATGGCAATCTCAATCAAGATATTTTAGGTAAGCTTCACTTTAAGAACATGTGTCTGTTCAGAGGCTATAATAAATGTATGATTAAAAGCTGACTGACCAACACTTTCTGTGTTTCTCAAATAGCAAACTTGAGAATCTACCCCTTCTCAATTGCTGTATTAATACCTACTTGGGATAGAACTGCAAACCATCATACTGCACTACTATTTGTAAGACCAGATCTCATAATGAATTTGGTTTTTTACAGTCTTAAATGGTGCTGTTCAGCCAAATATCTCAAAACCAACAGCTTTTCTACATGTAAAGCTGCACCAGTTGAAATATCAGCTTGATCCATGCATATTAAACCAATCTAAGACACATATGACTCACTGCCCAAAGTCAATGCTCCCACAGAAGCTGGCAGAAACAAACATCAGTTCTCTGCTGTGGCTATCCATAGATCATCACCAATGTTGACAAATATGCTGAAACAAGCCCAGCAGCTGAATGGTGGGCAGACATAGCTTTTCTTCACTTTACTGGGCTGAAGTTAATCATCCTTGGCAGAGAGATACCACATTAAAGGCAGTAACATCATATAACTACAGCTTGAGCTAGATATGCTGAGGGTATGCCTCTTGAAGCCCTTATGGTGTTAAAGCAGTATTTAAGTAACACGAACACAACTTTTTTTGCTAGCCTTATTTGGGGTTAAGCAAAACTAAAGTACTTGAACTGTAGGGAGAAAAAAACCAAACCCAGCTTTTTCATACAGGGTTTGCATAAATTTAACTAAGCCAACACTCAAATGCATTGTCACTACAAAAGTCTGAAAATTGTAAGGAAGTAATCTGTTTTACTGATGGCTAAAATGAGATATGGCATGAGAAAATAACCTGCACCAGATTTACGGAAAACTGAAAGTAGAGACAGGAATAGAATTTAATCATCAGCTGCTGCAACTCACAGCCTCTCTCTCAGCCAACGAAAAGACTGCCTATGCTGAAAAATACATTAGTATGTGGTTACCCCTAATTGCAAGATGTCCTCCTAGCAGTTTAAAATGATGCCCACTTAGTGAATAATGAGAAACTTCCCATCCATATGAACAGAAAATGATTTTCATTTTCATCGTATGTGTGTCTGAATTTCTTAGCTATTTGCCCCTCTATAAATACAGGGAGAGATCTGTGTATGATTTCAAAACAAAATAAACTTCTACCAAAGTAAACTGGGGAGAGTTAGTTCTGTAACAGGGAGGATCTGTTGATCTGATCTTTTAAGACTCAGTAGCATGTTTTAATAACCAAAACATTTTTCTACTTTGATAAATTATAGAGGAATGTTGTTACGAGCAGATGAAGTCCCAGCCTCAAAGGCCAGTTAACCAACTACAGGTATCTTTTATTTTAATTCTGGATTTCTGAATTAGGGTAATGTGGTCTGTCTCAGAGTTCTTGTGTTTATCCCATGACAATATATAACAAAAATCTTCACACTGGTCATCACAAAAATTACCATGCATTAGTGTCTCAGTTCATCAGGGAATTTAAGCACAGACTTGACCCTTCATTCAATCTGGGTCATTAATGAGGGAGCAGAATTATAGACAGCTCATTTCCATCCATATGGCATGATACAGCTCAGTCACAGGCATGCAGATCAGACTGAATTAAGCCTGCATCTACTGCTATGGCTTATGTAAAGAATTATTTTTATTTATTTTGGACATCAACCAAGTGAAAACACAAGCTGCATCACATAATAATCATGAGTTTGACTGGCTCTCTCCTGCTCAGCACAAAATCTATACGCCTTAACAAATTAAAGATGACTGTTTTTCTATTGATTTCTATTTTTTTTGAGATACCTGGACACCTAAAAGCATGCTAGCTTCAACTGAAATTTGTCTGTAATTGAAACATTCCTAGCATCAATTTCCCAAGTCGATTTCCAGGTATTTCATAAGGACCAATTTCCAACCTGCCTCTCAGGATACTTCCAGAGGGTAAAAATATCCCTTTTTTTATCTAGACGTTTGTTTTCATTAACTTCACAGAAACAGAATAATCTATGAAAATTCCAGTGTCAAAAGTGCTTGACAATTTGGCTTGAAAAACACAGAGAGAATCAGGGGAAAGACACACAAAGCATATATTTTGCACTGGAAACGAGATCATATATACAGACAAGCATTACCCAGCTTTGTTTTTCTGCACAAAGTCTGTGAAAAATGTTGTTGCTAATAACTGGATTGTAATTAAAAAAAAGAGTGGGAAGAAAACCAGACCAAATAAAATCTTGCATCCCAAGGAACTTGGACTAATTATATAAGCTACCCTCATTCCCACAGAGAATCTTTCCAATAATACCTTGATGAATTTTTCTTACTGTCACTATCCTAACAACACGAGTCATTTACCATTAGGTTATGTTGGTCTGATTTCTGTGCTGCCACAGCTTAATAATTTGTGCTTTTAATGAGTTAGTTTACAGCTAGTTTGGGTAAACTTCAGCCACTATTATGATACAGTGTAGACATACTCAAAGTCTTAGACAATTTTAAAGCAAGCATAACCACTGAATGTTAAATAAAGTGAATTTCCTTCTAGGTGGAGTCTGCCAATCAGATGTGTTATGCCTCGCTTGACCACAGTGTCAAGGGAAAACGTAGAAAACCAAGAAGAAAGGCAGGCCCTTCATTAGAGAAGGATGAAGAAGAAAGATCATCTAAGGCCACCACGATGGCTTCCAAAGTTAGCATTTACCTCAACAGTGAGCAGCTGGCTGCTGAAAACACAGCAAACATAGAAGATATTCATGATGATCCCATCAGATTAATGGGTTTGATTCATACTACAAAAGGAGAGAACATTTGAAGCAGCTTCACGAACCAAATATGTAATCATAAAGCCAGATCTGCTCTTTCATTCAGGAAGAACAGTGAATGATTAGAGATAATATCCTGGCAAACTGACATACCAAACAATGGTATAAAATGGGTAAGTTAAGCGTTCCAAAGGGTGTTCCAAGCATATTTACAGACTAAGCAAGAAATAAGTATCGATCCAGACTGCCACTTTGAAGGACCTGCTCTTCTGAAGACATTTTGAAACGGAATTGTAGAAGCTGGTATCTCAGCATTCACATGGTATTGATTCCAGTAAAAAATAATCCTTTGTTTAAAACAACCATCAACTTTCAAAACAGTCCCAAAAGACCCACTCTGTTGTCTATAGAGCTCTAGCAGAACATAACAATTCTTCTGTATAGGTTTTAACAATACTTTTGGAAGGAAATCATGTTTCATACTTGCACATTTAATGATTTACTTGTTTTCCCAATTAAAAACTGATTTGCTGTTCAACATTGTGTACTTTCCTACTGTGACTGGTCTATGCTAATAACAAATATATCTAAAGCTAATTGGAAAATAATTTGACAGCTTGTTTAAAGTAGTAATTGTACATCTTGCAAGATTTAACAATATCCTTATATATCTTTAGTTTCCTTCTGTGAGCAATACTAGAATACATCTCAAATCTTAACTCTTCTGGTAACATAATATTGTATTCAGCCATATTCAAAAGACAACAAAGATATTAGCAAACAATCTGTAACAATAAATCTCCTAGGGAGTACTTTTTCCTTCTAATATTCTATGTGATGTTTAAATTCCTATTGGATTTTACATTGCCATTGTTACCAACTATTTTACAGAAGTAGAAAGAGCTTTTTATTTCCCCAAATAATTCACATACTGTGTGCACATTCATCTCAAGACTTTAAACTCATCAGATGGTAAGCTTTTATAGAGTGGGGATTTATTTTTATATTCTGGGACTCATTAAGTAGTAGTAGCAGGAAACAGTAAGGCATGTTGATGTAATATGCCTACCTCTAGGTGTTGAACAGTTTTGCCTTCTCAAAAAAAGGATATTAGAGCATGTAAAACCCACACAGAGCACAGCGTCAAGGAGCTTGAAACTCTCAAGCACATACAGAGCCCTGCAAGTGTTTCAGAGATTGGACAAATTTATGAAAAAAAAAATCAGTGCAAAAGAAACAGTTGACAGCCTGGTTCACGTTTAGTTTAGCTCATAGTTAATGAACCTCTTTAACATGCCTTAACTTCTATGCTAGACCAAAAGGAAGGGGCCAACCGCTGCAGCCAAAGCCACCCAGTGTCATGGCCTGTCTTGTGCTAGCACTTGCTTTTATGCACAGAAATCAAGTCAATATATGTTTGGTTGTTACATCCCAGAAACAAGGCAGACTTGGAATTAAAATGACTGTGTTATCATGGTCTTAGAGCAACTACCATTGGATAAGCAAAAATAGTATTGAAAAAAATCGATAAAAATCGCTTTAATGGAGAAACATATTAAACAACGACCTTGACCAAAATCCTAAGGGGGAAAGAAGTAAGGCAAATCCAGAGCCAAAGGCCCAAAGCCAAAGACCAAGGTATCAGCACATAAAATACTAACTTGATTAGATTGGAATTATACCTTGTTCCACAGTAGGAACAAAATAAGTAATAAAATACATATCAACATACTCCTGCTTAGACTCACATATCAAAATTGTTTTAATAGCATTAATATACAAAGTATTTATGTAAAATATTTGAATTTAGCTGGCACCAATCAGATGCAATACTCAGCCCTCTGAGATCATGAAAAGAGAAAGCTTTCTTAAACAATCCCTCAAGCAAATAAGCACAGGCCCAAGTCTATTTGTTACTATTTTCCAACATACACATGAAACAAGGGATGCTGTATTTTCTTTTAATACAATTTGTGTACACTTAGTACAAAAGTTGCTATTTCCCAATTTTCTCACAGCATTTGCACTCTTGATTATGCCTTTCCTCTAAGAATTCCAAAGTCAAAGAATTTCTGAGTTACCTAAATTCAACCTGCCATTTTAGCCTGATCATTAATTTAATGGAAATTAAGTACACGCTTCTCTCATTGAGCGTACATGTAACATTAAGTCTGCTTCATGGGATTTAGGTACAACTAGTTTCCTTTGTATTCTTAGTCTTCATTGTTTAGTCCACCTATTTATTTACACCAATTTTCAGCAGCTGCTTTCCCTTGCAACATAGCTTACTAAAAGAGCAGGGCACTTTTGTAAATAGTCTCCTTCGGTATACACTTGCTTTCCACATTTGACCACTGCTTCCATTAAATTATTCACAGACTCCACTTCAGGATCATCTTCAATAGCCTATCAACTGTTTCCAAGGCACTTCTAATGCTGCCACAGTCCACATTTTACTTTATTCCTCTGGCTCTTTACACTCTGTCTGCTTAAATAAGCAACGGAATGACACCCCCCCCCCCTTTTTTTTTTAAAATTACTTTTTGGGATAGTTTTTAAGTGACTACTGAATTCTTACATGAAAGAGCATGTTCAATATTGTTCCATCTTCAAGCCATTGGAGAAAGACCTGCATAAACTACCATATATTAGTTAAATTCTTCATGTATAAAGAAAGTTTCAATTAATTACAACAAAATAAGAAAATGCTAGGTCTAGGTTTATACTGTCTCACTAGCCTGTTTTTTCAGTGTTCTTTACAAAAATTTTGAAGAAGAAGCAATGTGAAGATGTTTTTATTAACAGTAAGCTTAGCATTCAAGTATCAGTTCAATGGAACAGTGAAGAAAGTAAACAAGAGGATATATGGTGGAAGAAGCATAACTATTTGGAAGGGAAGAAGAATGGAGCTTACAACAGAAGAGATCAAATAACACCACAAAATCTTTGTAAGTCCAGGACAGGTATACTCCAGTAGTCATTATAGCATCTGACAATTGCTGCAGATGCATTCGTTTAAACAGTATTGTTAGGAAAAACCACAGACTATTGGTTATATCACACTTTTAAGAACCTGCTGACTCAAGTGGATGTTGGAGGATCAAACTCTAAAAATAATTGTGTAACTTCTCCCATTTTTTGCTACTGCTAGCACCAAGAAGTTGGCACTGGGATGAACTTATCTTCCAACACCTCAAGATTTTTCAAGAGCTAACTCTTAAAGTTCTTTTGAAGTAATTTTCATGGAGACAATGAACGATTGCTATGTTGTTTTAAAAAACCTTACCTTCCTACCTGGGTAAGCCTGCATTCAGGCTGCTGTGTAGAAGTCGTATCTAGAGTCAGAACATGTCCAAAATCCCATTCCAGTTTACCTTCAAGTTACTTTAGAACAGAAAACATTAATGTAGTTACATAATCTTTCAGTACTGGTGTATCAAGAAACACCAGGAAATAATTACCTCAACAAATCCAAGGGAAAGGTAGTTCATCCATGTCTGGAACAGGAAGAAAAATGAGCCACAAAAGCATTTCTAAAAGACAATCTTTTTGTTGCTGTTGTTGAAGGAAACGTAATGTACAAATGCTGAGGGATAGAATGTGTGTGTACATTTCAGAAGTTCTTGTCTTATCGCAGAACAAACATCACTGAAGCTGGCTTCTTGTTCCATTCAAAAACAACACAAGATAACAAGATCTTGGTTTTAAGTGCTAAAATAACATAAAACCACCTCCTGTGTACCCAGAAATGAAGTAAAACCAAAGGAAAACTATCTTCTCCTTTTCTGGAACTCAGAAAGCTGACAAGGGGCAATGCCAATAAAACAGAATGTACTTGACCTGACACTTACCACTAAACCAATCTCCTTGCCAAGAAAGAACACAGTAATGAAAACCTGTGGGACCCTGCCACATCATTCTCATATATTTGCTGTAGGTATACAAACCGCTCCTGAGAATTCACATACCTGAAATAAAATGTTGAAAGCAGGTATTTGTTCAGAACATGTTTTTATTTAGAATATATATTGTGTCAAGCAGAATTTTCTCACAGCACAGAATATAACTATCAAATCCACTAAAAATTATAAAATTTTATTGAACAATCAACTTAGGTGAGCAACTTAGAAAGTTTAACGTTAAAATTGCATAGCAGGCATATTACAAGTCAGAGCATATAATACTGCATTTGGATCATCCAGCCCAGTTTAGATTTTTTCATTTATTTAGTACTGATACATCTATAAAGCATGAATAGGTGGGAATTCAGCAGAAAGAGCTTGTTACTTATCTTACTAATACGTTAAGAATCAAAGCTTATTAGCAGATTAAAAGATAATACAGATCACATTCTGTTATTATAAACACTACTAAATACATAATTTAAACTTGGCCATAGAAAGGAAGCCCGATTCCCCACAATACCTGATGAAGTCAAAGGAGTAAGAAGTGCCCTGTCAGAAGGGATGAACCAGTTCCTGAAGATTTATATTACAGGGAAGTATAAATCAGGACTAATTGTATATTACATACATATAATACATCCTTGATTCTTGGAAGAAGACAGAAAACCAAAACAAACCCAAACTTTATAAAACAATGTTTTCTCCATAGCAGTCCATGAATGCTCCTTGGTGAGTTTTGACCAGGAGATCGTCCAAGGGATTGCTAGGATTTTGGTCTTTCCCATCAGTGTAGCTTAGTTTTCTGGATACCCTATAGAAAAGAATTGTTTAGATAACAACGTAAGTTACATGAAAATACTATGCTTGCTGAAACTCCCATGAACAGAACAAAATTCAAACAAATTGCCAAAGGAAGATATCTGAACTTCTTGACTGTGAATAGCAGCAGGACTCCTTGTCTGCATTCCTATGTGCTTTCAGCTGGAGAGGGAACTTTTAATCCTATGTCATTTTAATGTCGCAGTGATGCTACTACATTAACCTAAATTATATAAATATCTATTAAACTTCAAGATGTAATCTTTGAATGCATTCACAAATAGCTAAAAATGAAAGATACAAGTGCGAAAACAATTATTTCCTTG